GAGATCAACAGTCAGGGAGACTAAGTCGACACCACCTGCATCTACTTGACTACGTAACGAGCGAAAATGTTGCACTCCACCGGTATACGTTTTGGGGTAGCAGATTACGTCTTTTTCCAATTTTATACTGCATTTTTCGGTTAAAAACAACTTTCAATTGCTGATGACTTTGGAACATAAACTGCATTCGGGTCTTTCAAAGTAACTGGTGTATAGCCTCAGTCTAGGGCAAATTAAAAATTTGCATTCTTGGGAAGACGTTACAGAGGGCTCATAAAACCTTGCAATGCGTATGGAACATGTCCTATACCTTATAAGCAGCATGAATGAATGGACATTCTACGGTCCTAAAAATCTCATAATTTAAACTTTTTGAAAACTGAAAGGTACCCTTTAGTCAAGTATAATATTTTAAGAAGACGTACCAAATGATGACAAGAAAGTATATTTCAACTTATAAAGACATCGAAAATCATTGCGAAAAGGTCTTACAACTTAATTAGTCTTTTTTACAGTGCCGTTTTTGTAGATAGCCGGAAAGTAGCTCGTTCAAAAGTCGGCATCCTGATGTGACGGGTATATCTTAAGATAAGGCTGTATGACAGTTACCATTACAAGTCTAACTAAGTAATTGTTTGCAAATCGAAAACATATTGCGGAATTTCTGTTGACATTTCATGTGATTGTTAGTCTACTGTATGCTTGCATCGTCACTTGGCCCCCTAAGTGCATTTCCTTGAGGCGCGCCGTCATGATTCGCCTTTGCTATAATCGGATCTTTATTGATAGCTAAATCAACTTGTTTGGTTGGCTGCAGTTAGGCTGTTCAACCAATTGACTATCCGGAAAACTTCTCATGTTATATGTCTAACACAGCGGCATCCATACCAATCACCCAACAACTAGTATTCAGCGTGTTTCTACTTTAGAACCAGTTGATGCATTTCCCCGTCTGGATTGACCTCAAAGGCCAGGACACTGTTCCGGAGACTGTGCACCACGTAGTAAGTAACCTTTACTATCCCATCTTGTATCATTTCACTGTGACGTCGTGCTTGAGCAGACAGTCAGACAAAGCACACGGGACAAATTACCTGTCTGGCGGTTTCCATTTTTAGTTTCTTTGTCCTTCGTGTCCCACTTGCAGATTCTTGAAAGTCTTTAAGCCACTCTTTCAGCGGGAGACTCTTAGTCTGGCAAAGGAAGTGCACTCACCGGTTAGCAAAAACCTAATCTAACTCGTTCTACTTAATCCGTACCTTTTAAATTGATCCTCCATGGCCTTTTGGTATCTTCCTCTCCCGGATGAGGTTGCCTGAGACTAGCCAATCTTTTGCGAATATCACCGTATTCTCGTGGTGCTTTCTCCCCGACTATTTTATTCCTTTTGCGTTTTGTTTCATTCAGATGTGTCTGGTGAATCCCTACCAAGACCTCTCCTGGAAGGATCTCATGCAGGCCAAGGATCATATTCACACCGATGGTGTCCACCTGAAGGACAAACTGAATGTGAACTATGAAACTCCGGGTAAGGTGGTTTTATAGTTGCAATCATTTGTTGTTTATCATGTTTCTCTTTTTAGTTAACTCAAAGACGGAACCATGTTTGATACTCTTTTGCAGCGCGAAACCTCAATCCGCGTCTATATGCAGGATAAACTGTAACTTTGCGACCGCTGATGGCTTACTTTTGCTGTGGTCCATATTTTCTCATAAGTCGGGGCTAAGTAATAGAAGTTTTGATTGGACGAGTGAATCCTCCATGACCGGAATGGGTTGTGATTTACAGAACCCTGATTGTGTCAACGATCCGGTAGGTGGCCCCACTCAAAAAACTAGAGATAAGGACGCCTGCAATACGGAAATGGCGGTGATAAATGGTTTTTTGGATGAGGCAAACTAAGCTGACGTATAGTTGTTTTCGGGACGTAAAAGATAAAAACTTACATTTACGCCAATAAAGCCCAAGAATGCGAGCCCCTAGTTGGAAATTGGGAACTGAACCAGGAAGAAAAATGAAAACCGCAGATATTGGTTAAGTATTCCGCGCGAACGTTGAAGCCTACCTCCTAATCCGTGTCTACAGTCGAATACTAACTTCTAACCATACATCCAGTGCTAGACTTAATGGCAACACCTAGAAGTTTAACGGGAATGGGATTAACTTAAGCCTCCCCAAATGACATGAATAGGGATTTCTTAGAACTATCTACCAGATGGGGCCACATATCCGATCGTTAGCCGCT